TGCGTTCTACATAGTCTCCCTGAACACAAGACCAAGTTGCGACAACGAGGTCAACCCACTTCTAAACGTCTATTTCCTATGCACACACACACACACACACACGAACCTATACACGCACATGTGGTATGAAGCCAAAGATCTCATAAACTCCTCAAATACTTCCACAAATGCGAGTGTGTAACTTACCTAATGCATTACATTTACCACCACTAATTATCAAGGCTATACGCTTCACACACACATACACACCCACACATCCTCACACAAATACATGCTTCTTCTGGAAGGGATGTTCTTTCTTTTCAACGTGGCGGTCATGACCATTTGTTTATCACTTCTTCATTTTTCTCTTCTTCTTCTTTCTCCTCTCCGATTTAGCCGATGAAATTCAGACGCAGACCATCATGGAAGGCATCACCGTACGCATCCAGTGCAATGTATCCACCACCAACTTACCCAACGGTGCGGCTCCGATTCGCTACGAGTGGAAGGATCCCAACGGTACTGTGATCGGTACGCAATGGGAGTTGCGGCTTGCGCGTATTCAACTTTCCGAGTCCGGCCTCTACGTGTGCGGAGTCTCCTCGATGGTCGGCGACGAGCGGATCTCCGCAAGCATGGGCACCATCATCAACGTCACTCCGTGTGAGTGCAGTGGAAATAATTGAAATTTTTTTAAAGAATTTAAAATAATATACCAAAAATTATTGAATAATGCAAACAGCACACATCCTTAGTGATGAAGAGCAGGCGTCAAGGGAATTCGCTATTATTGAACTGGTTCACATCGTAGCTTGATGAACCAGGACGAACTGAGGCCATTATCTGATATCGCAAAACAACTTTTCAGAGACACTTTCTAGAAGGAAACTGAGAGAATTGAATCGCTGATTCGTGACTGTTCCAGGCATTGCTCCAGTCTTAGAATTAACTCTATCAGTCAGAAAAGGTTGGAATGAAGGACTCGTTGGAATCGTCTAAAGGCCAGTATTCCATTGGTTGACTCCACCTCAATTCTCCCTTCCAACTAACAGAGGTTGCTTTCTGTGACCTCCAGTTGACACTGTTGTAGAGTCTTCACTTTCCACTTCTATCCGTTCATTCTTCTCGCGGTTTCTTCCGAGGCCCAAATAAGAATTTGAATTAATTTCGTTACAAAATAAAACGATGTTAGTTGAATTTATAACCACGTACCGCCTCCAAAAAGATTTTCTCGCCCCGCCTGGACAGGGATTTTGGTATTGCCCGGGTCTCATCTGCCTCCAGAACAAAATTCGAGCCCGGCTCATCTTCAACCTTGCCTCTATGCCACGCAGTCGTGAGTGGGTGCCACCGTATCACTGGGACCGATGCGGCCTTCAAGGATAGCCAAGCCTCATAGAATTCCCACTTTTGTGGGATAGTGTCTATAGGGCGAAATTGTTTTCATATTTAAAGTGGACTATACTACTGAATAATGGAATAAGTAGTCGTCAAGCCTAACTCTGATCCTCGATTACGTAAGTAACTTGCATATCTGAAGGCTAAGATAGTGTGTTGAGCTTAATTCCATTTCGAGTGAAAGTGTTGGCTAAAGAGATTCGAAGGTCGGTTGCACCAAAAGACGGCGGCGGATTCCTCTTGACCAGCTGTCGATTGGCTTTACTGGAAGATTCATGCTTGCACTATTTCCGAAGCAATCTCCTTGATTCCTGTAAAAAGGTGCTAAGCTTTCGTCCATCATATGACGAATACCATCAGAGCGAGGTAACATCGCCACAACAAAATTTAAGCTAACGAGTCAAGAAAACTCACCGGCAAATCCCTAAAAAGCAGATTTATACTCTATAGCTAACCTCCTTGTAGATACGAAGAGAAACTGGGTTTCGATGAATCTCCTGAAATAGCATTGTTGAGGGACTTTCATTTTGTATGAAAGTGCATGAAGAAAATATTCGCTGGTAGATCTCACCAGAAGAGGACGGATGAATCCCATTGTACTGCAACCAAATTCAAGCTAACGAGTCAAGAAAACTTTTAGTCATCACTGCAGGTTTCGTGCATAAGCGATCACAAACAGTCGCATACGCATACAGAGGCAGACACACTCACAGGCTCCGAAGTTGACATATGACCGCAACTAACCAATTCACTTTAAACTTGATCAAAGAGGTCAGATGTTGAGTATATATCTACCACTTTTTAGGGATTCGCCGGCGAGTTTTCGTGACTCGTTATCTTAAATTTTTTTGTGACAATGTTACTTCGCTCTGAGGATGTCCGTCATATGACGGACGAAAGCTTAGCACCTTTTGACCGAAATCGAAGGAGATTGCCTCGGAAACAGCGCCAGCATGAATCTTCCAGTAAAGCCAATCTACAGCTGGTCAAGAGGAATCCGCCGTCGTCTTCTCGTGGAG